GAAAAGGAGACGTCGCCAAAACTTATTGGCGATGGTCAGTATTGGCGACGGGGTTACCCGTCGAAACAAGTTATTTTCTTCGACTAGGCCCGCATTTGGGCTTACGACTGTCCCACTTTGACATAAACGTGTCTGCTAAGTGTTCTACATCAGTCCCCCCCTGCTTGAAAAGAGCTCGACCTCGAGCTTACACTTGCATGAATATCTGTTTCTTCTGGTGGGTAATACTCAAACAAATCTGCAACATTAAAACTAGGAGAAATACCCAAATATGTAGGAAGGTCAACCACGTAGCGTTGTCGCTAATCTTCTTCAGTATTTTGCATGGACCATACTTCTTATTCTTCAGCTTGTTGTAGGTGCCCACGGGAAAACGTTCTTTTCGCAGAAACACCATCACCATGTCTCCTTCTTCAAACACTTTCTTCCTCCTGTATTGATCAGCGTCGGCTTTATATTTAGCATTAGACTGCTCTATCTTTTCCTTCACCTCCTGCTGGATAGCACGTATCTTTTCAACCATATGATCTGCAGGAACACTCTGTCCGGGAAGCTTAGGCAATGGAGCAAGGTCGAGATAATGATTCGGAAGCTTTCCATACACAATCACAAAGGGTGCCTTGCCTGTTGTTCGACTCTCCATACAGTTATAAGCAAACTCAGCATGTGCCAAAGCAAGATCCCACTGTTTCAGTCGATCTCCAGAGATGGATCTAAGAAGATTACCGAGTGTGCGATTGACCACTTCAGTTTGGCCATCTGTTTGAGGGTGATAGGCAGTACTAAACTTAAGAGAAGTATTGAATCGCTGCCACAAAGTTCTCCAAAAGTGTGATAAGAACTTAGAATCTCGATCGGATGTAATGGACTTCGGCACTCCATGAAGGCGAACTATCTCCCGAAAGAAAAGATTAGCAATGTTGCTCGCATCTGCAGTCTTCTTGCACGGAATAAAGTGCGCCATCTTCGAAAACTTATCAACCACAACAAAAACAGAATCCATGCCTCGTTGGGTTTGAGGCAGTCCCAACACAAAGTCCATAGAGATATCATGCCATAGTGCATCAGGAACAGGTAAAGGTGTATACAATCCCGTATTCTGAGACTGTCCCTTAGTAACTTGACAAACTGGACAACGCCGCACATATTTTTCTGCTCCCTTCTTCAACTGAGGCCAGTAATATCGTTCTTTAATGGCTGTAATTATTTTATCACGTCCCAAATGTCCTCCTAGTCCGCCAGCATGAAGGTCTCGAATTATCTGCTCTCTTAGTGAACTCTAGGGTATGCACAATTGATCGCCATGAAATAGATAATCATCCTGAATATGAAAGTCTTTGACTGATTTATTTTGAAGACAGTCACCCCAAATCTTCTTAAAATCTTCATCCTCTGCATACAGCTCCTTAAAGTACTCAAACGCAATCACTTCAGCCTTCAAAGTTACCAACAATCCAGCTCTCCTACTGAGTGCATCTGCAACCTTATTCTGCTGCCCGGATTTATGCTTTAAAACAAAGGTGAAACGCTGCAGATATGCAATCTAACGAGCATATATATGGTTGATGGTAGTCTGACTATTAAGGGTCTTCAAGGCCTGATGATCAGTGTGAAGCAGAAACTCTCTCGAGATCAAATAGTGCTCCCAATGCTTCAAAGACTGAACTATAGCATATAACTCCAGTTCATATGTGGTCCACTTCTGCCGAGCTTCGCTGAGTTTCTCACTGTAAAAGGCGACTGGACGCCCTTCCTGAGATAAAACACCATCAGTTCCTATGATGGACGCATCACAATCAACTTCAAAGACTTTTTGAAAATATGGAAGTGCAAGCACAGGTACGGTGGACAACTTCTCCTTGATCAGTGCAAAGCTATGATCTGCATCTTCCCCCCAGTTGAACTTTCCTTTCTTCATGCATTCAGTTATAGGTGCTACAATGCTGTTAAAATTTCTTACAAATCTCCTATAGAATGTTGGTAGGCCATGAAAACTACGAACTTCGCTGACAGTCTTCGGGGTAGGCCAATCTCTAATAGCACGAACCTTCTCTTCATCAACATGAATACCCTCTTCACTAACAACAAAGCCTAGAAATACGAGGCTACTGGTCATGAAGTTGCACTTCTTCAGATTGATGTACAACTTATTCTCCTACAAAACTGTTAGTACATCCCTCAAGTGGTCCAGATGTGCAGCCCCACTCTGGCTATAAATCAGGATATCATCAAAGTAAACTACGACGAACTTGCCGATAAAGGGTTTTAATACCTGATTCATCATTCGCATGAAAGTGCTAGGGGCATTAGAAAGACCAAAAGGCATGACTAACCACTCGTACAGGCCTTCTTTTGTCTTGAAAGCAGTCTTCCACTCATCTCCTTCCCTAATCCGAATCTGATGATAGCCGCTTTTGAGATCTATCTTGGAGAACACTTTTGAACCAGATAACATGTCTAGCATATCTTCCAAGCGTGGAATAGGAAATCTATACTTCACTGTAAGCTTGTTGATAGCCCTACTGTCCACACACATACGCCACTCTCCGTTCTTCTTTGGGACTAGTAGTGCTAGCACTGCACACGGACTCATGCTAGGTCGTATAAGACCCTTCTGGATGAGATCATCCACCTGCTTCTGCAAAATCTCTCCTTCCTTCGGACTCATCCTATAGTGTGGCAGATTTGGTAGTCTAGATCCAGGGATAAGGTCGATCTGATGTTGAACGTCCCTAAGCATGGGTAATTCAGAAGGAAGATCATCAGGCATAACTGCATCAAACTGCTGTAAGAGGATCTGTACTTCAGGTAAAATTTTGGCAGTGGCAGACTCCTCTTTTCCCGAAACTACAAGGGCATAAATCTCATCAGACTGCTTCACATCTTTCATAAAGTCTTCATTGTCAACGACCAAGAAATTCTTCTTTTCAGTCACATTGGTTTTGACAGGCCCCTTCTCGGTTAGAGGTTTGAGCACAATTCAACGACCATCCTTCTTGAAGATGTAAACATTATCTTTCCCCCTATGCGTGGCATCAACATCAAACTGCCAAGGTCTGCCTAACAACATATGACATGCATCCATCTCTACTACATCACACAATACCTCATCCACATAAGTTCGGCCAATGGAAAAGGATACCCGACACACTTCATCAATCTGTACGTCATTACCCTTGCGAATCCAGCCGATCTTGTAAGGAGCGGGATGCTTCTCCGTCTTCAACCCTAACTTCTCCATCATGTGCCGAGAGACAATATTCTCTCTACTCCCACTATCAATGATGACATCACAAATCTTCTGTTGCACCGTGCATCTCGTTCGAAAGATGTTATGCCTCTGTGGTGGTTCTTCTGCTTTTGGAGCCAACAATAGTCGCCGTACAACACATGAGAGTTGTTCTCCATCATCATCAGCATCCAACCCATCATCATAGTCTTCATCATCGTCTCGGTCTGCATCCTCATCTTCATGATCCACCATGTTCACAGTACCTCTTTTAGGGCACTGATTGGATCAATGACCAGGCTGTCCACATCTGTAACACTTGATCGGGTCAGGCTTGGCATAAGGGTTCGCTGGGGTAGGCTTCTTTGCTGTTGTTGTCGCTGGACCCTTGCCCTTCTCCGTTGTTGCATCCTGCTCAGAAACAGTCTGAGACTGTTTACTTCCACCACGTTTGAAACTCGTGTACGACCCGTTGGAAGCTGCCCATGATCCTTTACTATTTCGTCCGAGTTGTCGCTCCACCTTCTCGGCTAGGCTAACTGTATCTGCTAAGGTATAGGTCTGTTGTAAAGATACACGATACTGAATTGCCATCCTTAATCCCCATGTATATCGAGACATCTGTTGGGTCTCGCTCTCGTTCAAGTTGTTGCGGGATGACAGCCGATAAAATTCCCGTGTGTACTCATCCACGGTTCTTCCACCTTGCTTACAATTTTGGTACTGCCCGAATAATATTTGTTCATAATCACTTAGCAGAAAACGGGCTCTCAGTAGCTTCTTCATCTTCTCCCGCCTTTCGACCTTCGGCTTCCCTTGACAAGATCGATTCAGACAAACAGATTCCCACCAAGCTGAAGCTCCACCTTTGAGTCGGTAGGCCACCAATTTTACCTTGCGTTCTTCTGGGATCTCCATATACTCGAAGAACCTCTCTACTTCTGCAATCCAGTCGAGGAACTCTTCAATATGCAGTTGCCCGTTGAAAGATGGCAGATCCATCTTCATCTTGAAACCTCCAACGTCATAATTATCCCTTCGTCGTCGGTCTCTGCGATAACCACCACGGCGTGGGGGTGCATAATGATCTTCCTCACTGTCGGAATCTTCATACGGAGTCATCTCACGTCGTTAGCGACCATCAACGCGATTTCGATCTCCTATCATGTCCAGACGCTCTACTGCCGCAGCTAGTCGCTCCATAACAGTCTTCATCTGATTGACATCGGCCTTTAGCACGTCGAACTCAGTTCGAGAAATAGGGGCTTTATCACCTGCCATCGGATCAGAGGAACAAGGCTCTGATACCAATTGACGCAGCACGGAAGTTGTAACCTCGGAATCCACCATGGGTGTTCTCTGAATCCACAAAGAACGATCTTCGAATCCACGAAGAGCTTCGAATCCACGAAGAAATATTGAGGAAAAACAAAATTTTATTAATCAAAAGTTATGCCTCTAGGGCTTACAAGACTCTTCTTAAATAGAAAAAGAAACAAGACTCCTATAAGGACTCTAATTCCTACAAGGACTCTCAACTTACCAAAAATGGTAAAGAATTCCTAAAACATTAAAACTCCTAAAAAGACTCCTTATGATTAGGAAAGTCCTCCGGTCAAATCTGAGATCAAATCGGATTTGTTTCCTAAACAAAACAGACTCCTAAAATATTACTAAAAATAGTAAAAAACGGACAAAACTGTAAATATCTCTTAAACCGTAAGGAATTTGGCGAAACTGAGAACGCAAACCAAACCCAAAGGGGTAGGTTTGGATGGCTCCGTCTCGTCGATATAGTCGATTTTCATATATAATTCGTCCAATTCCGACGTACGGTTTGAAAGTTACGGCCGTTTCTTCGAAACAAGTTATTTTCTTCGACCAGGCCCGCATTTAGGCTTACGACTGTCCCACTTTGACATAAACGTGTCTGCTAAGTATTCTACATCATTATCTCCACATGAGAGTTGAGTAAAACATAATGCACAATACACACATATATATGGAGATCAAGAAAATGAGGGAGCCCAAAGAATCTTTTTTTTTTCCCTTGAGCTTAGGACTAATTAAGTCCAAAGTCAATGGGGACAAGGTTGTGGAGACATGGGCTGGGAATGCTTTGGACGTGGGATTTTCTTTTGCAAGCAACCGCAAGGTGTGGAGGTTTTTATATATTGAAAACAAAAAACTAATAAATATTGAAATAATAGATTGTCAAGTTCCAAGTTGGACTAGTTGAAGACGCAAGGTGTGGAGGTTTTTATTAGAGAGGCAGGGTGAGATAAGACAGTTATATGCAACAACACAAATAGAATAACGATAACTATAAATTTTGAATTTTTTATAAAAGAGAATTGACCTCACACTTCTCCCTCATGTAGTATAGAACTAGCGTAAGAGTAGGAGTTTAATTATCCCTACTCGGTAAAAAAAATTGATGCATATTTGCTTAAATAGAGAAAGAAAAGCATATAGAAGCATTATTAACTATGAGACTACCTATATAGTGAGGAAGTATCCAGTGGGAAGGGTCCATGACATTTAGGGGGTTAGTCAAGTAGAATTCAAAATTAGAACTGAGATAATTTGTGGGACAATATTTTATAGTGTTAGTCCATTGGAACTAGAACCAGGATAAAGTTATACAGTGTTAGTCAACAAGAACTGGATAAAAAGTAGAACTGAAATAGTTGTAAAAATTTATCCCACTTTTGTCAAACTTATATAGAAAAGAGAGAGTTCTAGTCTCTCAAATTGCTCCAGGTTGTAAGCTAGAATTGTTGTGTATTTCAAAACACACAAAGAAAAATGTTTGGTGTTCCCTAAAAATTGTTTGGTGTTCTCTATGCATATCAACCTTTGGTGTTCTCAATGTTTTCAATCTTCGGTGTTTCCAATGTTTCTACCTTTGGCGTTCCCAACACGGTTTAACCTTTGGTGTTTTCTATGTAATATAACCTTTGGTATTCCATCATGGTTCATCTATAAATAGATACTTGATCTCCTCAGTTGAAAAAGACTGAAATCACTCAAAAATACTTTTTGTGCTCTATCTTCCTTCCTGTCAGAGAGAGATATTTGTTGTTCTTTGTAGAACAGGTTATTGGAGTGCACCTTAACTTGTTATCTGTCGTTGAATCCTGTGAGGAAAGACGCCACTGTAGCCTTTTGTACCGAGAAGGGGCGAAATCTTTTCTTAAGGATAGTGATTACACGCCTCGACAGTTCGTACACTTTGTGCCTTGTTCCGGCCATAAGCAATTTCTTCAACAAGAACTACATGGTAAAAAACTAGAACTTTATTATTTACTTTTTTTGTTTTTCATATTTCATTTCTCGTTCATCTTCAAACCACACCATAAAATTAGATCACATCTCTTCTTATCCTTCCCTTCTATTTAATGTTATTTTTTACTTTTATTAAATATTTGAATTGTATAATTAATTTAAATTTAAAAATTACAAAATTCATGTTTTATTAAAATATTAATTAAAATTGAGAGATGATGGAATGATGTCTGGTAGATCAAAAAAGAAAGAGGAAAAAAAGGAAAAACTATTTTTTTTAAATTTATATTACAATAATAATTCCAAAAAAAATCAAAAAGTTAATCTTATAGTCTATCTAATAGTTATTCAAGATTAATTAACACTAAAATAATAATAATAATAATAATAAGTTTTAAAATGTATAAATAGTAGTATGATCATCAAAATACATGACTTATATGTTTATTGATTTCTAAAAATTATCCTTAATTATACTAACGATTGTCCCACTAAAATATCATGTTTTAAAATATCACTCCCAATTATCCAATTAAAATATCTCACATAAAAAATTATCCCATAATAAAAATTATTCCACTTCTATTAAAAATGTTCTAGTTGACTAACACCCCCTTAATGTGCACTAAATAGATGAAAATCATTGAATCCATACATGAATCCTTAGTGATCCAATGGTTAACATCTTTTTGGTACACGTTAAACGACATGGAACAGATACCACTTGATACTTTCTTGTATGTATTACTATAAATAGACAACTACGCATTTTGACAACGCAAGTAACCGAGAAGGGGTTGCATTTCCCATGCTTTATCTGTTTATTACAAGAGAGATTCACAATCACTTCAATTTTGTTTCTACATCATAACTGATGCTACTGAAAGATTATAATTTCATAAGTCAAAGATTACAAAGTTCACACTGACCCAAAAAAAAAGCTTGGATTTTGTAGTATAGTTATTACTACTCTTAACGTTCATGCAAAATAAATTTATCATTAATAAAACAACCTCCCCAAAGTCCACACTCAAAATAACTAATTTAAATCAGCGCAATAAATCATGAAACAAAATCACATAGAGTGGATGTATATTTTACAATAACCAATGGCAACATTCTCTAGTTAGAAAGCAAAGACATCTTAAACTACTTGCCATAAAAATGATTAATCACCTCATTAACAAAAATAAAATCAAACAAACGAGATCACAGATTTATTGGACAAATTTTCAAAAACGACCTCTTTCCACATTTAATCTCAAAAAAGACTCATTTCCACAATATTTTCAAAAACCGACCAGGTTTTAGCCTTGGCGCTGAAACCAGATCGGTTTTTGTGAAAAAACTTCTGAAACTTCACGGGAATTGTAGTAAATCTGATAAACTTCACGGGAGTTCAACTCCAGTTTTTTCACAAAAACCGACCTGGTTTCAACCTACCAAGGCTGAAACCAGGTCTTTTTTAAAAAAATATTAGGAAAAGGGGTCTGTTTTTGGGATTAAATGTCCATATGGGACGGTTTTGAAAATTTGTCCCAGATTTATTTGTTATGTTTGACTTTGACCAAGTTTTGCTAAAATAAAAACAGCAAAACATAAAACAGAGCGGTGGCATTGAGCTCCCCTCTCCTAAGTGGTTGTCAACGTCGGCGGTTGGTATACGGTTTTAGCTTGTACGCAACAATCTTTGATTTCATGCACATTCTATACTCGGAAGTAAACCATGGAAAACCCCTTCTTCTGTTTCGTTAATAGTTATCACTCATTTTATGCAACCAGAACAACAATGAATCGCTCTCGCTCATGGCTAGACCAATTGCGACAATGTTAAATAGGTATCGTATGTCATGTGGGAGGAGATTCTCCATATACAGTGAAGTTGCTCATTTTTAACCGAGTGTTGCTATAAGGATTTCCACCCTCACCTTTACTCTCGCATCATCGTCGTCGTAGGTGAGAATCCCCTCGTATGACATATGATACCCGGTAAAAAAGAGAGAAAATCACACAGCCAAAAGAACAAGAGCCAAACATTTCCAGCATAAAAACCAGTCAACTGCCTTCTGCTAAAAAAACTAACAGATACAAAGCTACAACCAACCCTAAAGCACAACAACCCATATCTCCAGAGTCTCGGCAGACGAAGCACTAAACACTAGCATGTTCTACACAAACCCCAAATGTAGGCAGGAATAAAAACATAATGCAATATACTAATTAAAAAGCTTACTTCAACGTAGCTTTGGCTTCTTGGAAGGAAAACCACCCTTGGAATCCCTTCTGTCAGGAACCCTGGACTTGCTGCTAAAGGATTTCACTTTCCTCCTCTTCCTCTCTTCTTCACTGTCTGAATCATCTCCTCTTTCTTTGTCAGCATTGCTCGCTTCCCGTTCCAACTCCTCCCACGTCTTTCCTTCCTCTTCCTCCGAGTCCTCCTCTGAATCCTCATCATCCTCGTCAGATTCTACCAATGATGCGCTGTCACTGTCGTCGTCTTCAGAAACAGACTCCGGCTCCACATCAGAGGGCTCATAACCTTGATCCGATTCTTCAGAGCCCTCTGATTCAGAATCGCTTGCTTCCAAGTTCAGAAACTCCCATCCTCCGTCTTCAATAAACTTCTCTGGATCATCAGTAATGGTTTTTAGTATAGGTTTCCAGTTAAGATTCAGTCTGCTCTCATAATACTTCAGATCAGTCGCATCGAGCCATTCTTTGATTGCATCAAGGGAAGTAGAAGGAATAGAATCTATACGAAAGACATCTTTGTTAAAGTCTTTGAACACAATGGCCATATCAAAGTTTTTCTGCCCGAGACCTACTCTTTCCAGATTAACAATCTCAATTTCACTCAAAGTGATTACCACAAACGGGGTCTCTATTAGTTCAACCAAACAGCTAGATGTTGGAACCATGAAAGCTGCTGACTTGTGAGGAACGCCATGAAACCCGAGCTCCCTCAGAGGCTGATCAAACTCCAAATCCAAATCTCTAAACTGTGGCTGTCCCCAGAGGTCTTGCACCTTATTAACAAAACTTTGGAAATCCATGTTGATCCTATTCTTTCGCTCTCTCTCCCGCTGCTCTTCTTCTATCTCATCAGGATCATAATTGGATCTCCTCCCTCCTCCTAATGTTTGAACTACATCCATGACCTCCACATAGAACTGAACATCAAGTGTTTTCTTGTTACCCACCATGATGTGGTTGTGGAGACGAAAGTGCAGAAGAGTTATCATTTCTCTCTCTGCCGGCTGGAAAAAAGCATGCTTAATATTGGCAAACATAATATCCACTCTCTGATCAGGGTTGGGAGTAGAATACCGAAACCCATTTACATGAGCCTCCAAAGTTCCACTAAGTTTTCTTGTACGCCCACCAAATACAGGACGAATCCACAAATCAGGCAACCTTATTGGTTTCATCCTGTTCCCAGCAAGCTGTAGCTTCTCCTGAGTGACTAAAGTGGCTCTCTCAGCTCTCTCAGATTCCCTCGATGCAACTTGTCTCCGGAGGAGTTTGATTCGTCCAACCATCTCATTACTATGTCTTGGATCTTTCGAACGAAAAGTTGCCTCTTTCAAATAGATGGCACCTTGATTTTTCAGGGAATTTGCATCGTGAGGGTTGAAAGCAGTTCCAGGTACATTAAATACTATTCGAACAGTGCAGGTTCGATTGTCCTGATGGCTAGTTACGCTCTTCACAGTCGAAACATGAAAGGGAACCATGCTTCCATAGATCGGTAAAAGGATAGCTTCATTCTTCTGGTCTAGCTGTATGGCCAGTTCCTTAGAAGGGGGTAAATCATTGACATTCTTGTAGGCAACCAGTTCACCTGAAGTTTTCACAGGCCCACGCCTATCACCATCTCCAGGACCACCACCAGCCAGCCTTCTGGCAGTCTCTTCATTCTTCTGGCGCGCAAGCTCAGCCTGATGTTGTTTCCTTAGTTCCTCCTTTGATGCTTCATTGTTTCCTGACCTCAATGTGGTCTTCGAAGGAAAGGGGTCTCTGTTGTTCGCTGCGCCATTGCTATTTGGCTTCTCTTCTTCTTCTTGCTCTTCATTGAAAGCATATGCGACATCCCTAACTAACTTGGAGCACCCTGCAGTCAGTACCTCTGGAGGTTTCTCACTGGAAACAATGACTGTATCAGCCAGCAAAAGGGAGAAGTTCTGAGTCTTCGGATTGTTTGTCTCAGCTTGAAGGTTCTGGAAGCCAAGGGACACATTAAAAACCATGCCGGATTTTAACAGGCGATTATTGTTCATGTTTAAGTTCAACCCAGATTCACGAAACTCAAGGCCAATCCCTGTTCCTGCGGACCTGGTAAGATTTGGGAGGAGTTCTGGAGCTTCTTTCTCCACGACAGAAACAGCAGCCTGGTAAGCAGCACCAGCCTTGTTGCCAGGTTTCAGCATGGCGATTGCAGCGTCATGAGCCTTGAGAAGAACCTCATACGCCTTGGTGTGAGTTGGAGTGGCATCAATCATAAAAGTTCTGGCAATATTCGAACAGTAGCTGCTATATCGTGATCCAATTGCAGATATGATCACACTAGCCGAATCATAGAACAGATTATCATCGTTGCTTGATGCACTTGGCTTCAGATCAAACTTTCCGCCGCTCTGAAATATTGGCGGGTAACATATATCAACATTTTCTGCCTTCAGCTTCACTTTGACCTTGGCCGGATCAATTATAACCTTCTCAGTGGCATCCATCAGTGATGAATGACTGACCTTTTTCTCCTCATCAATAGTTCTCTCAAGCTGCGGGACTACAAAATGTTTAAACACTGATGAAGTTAAATGGGCAGCTTTCTTCACACAGGTAAGCTCAGTAGCATCCTTGACAGCAAACAATTCAGAGAACCCATTTGTTACGTCGGTAAGGTTTAACCCTGAGCCGGCTAGCTTTTCTGACCATGTCTCTAGGAGCTTCCCTTCAGGTACCTCTTTCGCTATATAACCAACAACTGAATCTTCCGATTGAGAACGAATCGCGCCCAATAATTGTTCCATTGATGTAGAACCATCATCATTCTTTGCCTTAACACGTATCACAACATCTGCACCAACAGCTTCTTTGGCAGATTTCCTAATGGTTTCGAGCAGCGAAGCCTTCTTTTGGCTACACAAGAAATGAATCTGCTTGCTCATAAAAACCATGATTGTTTCTGGAAATTCATAGCCCAGCAGCCAAATATTCAAGGCTGAGGATTTGAGATACCGAAGATCTTCAGAAGGAGGGGGTGTAGCAATAGTCATAGCATCAGAAGCACCCCATGCATCAGACTTGTGCTCCTCCCAGTGAGTATAGAACAGTTTCAGACGCTTACTGAAACTCTCAAGATTGATTGAGTAGCCTGCTGGGCCAGTGGCTGATGGTTTTGTGCTACCATTTTTATCAGCCATCACAGTCGTAGAAACGGCGATCACAACCAAATCCTCTGTGAACTAGCTAACAAAGAAGGTTAATGTTAGAAAAGTTTGATAAGAGGATTTAAACATATGAACGACAACATAATCAACTAGATTTAAGAAAGGGTGAAGTGAAATAACTGAAAGTTAAAAAACAAGTTCTCTGTAAATGTTCATAAAAGTACATTATCGGCAATGGAGAAAAGCCCAAAGAAGGAGAAACAAAATCCCAACACTTAAAAACCAACTAGGTAGCATGGGCACAGACACGGACACCCATACGGACAGGGGACATGGCAAATTTGTAAAAGATAGGACATGACTCCATATATATATAAGGAAGCAGTGTAGAAAATGATCTTAGCTGCAACAGTGTATGGGGTGTGGTTTGAAAGGAATGCCTGAGTACGTTTTGCAAGAAGCGGGTTGACACCCTTAGATAATCGTCAGTTTTTTAACTGAGCGCTTATCTCCGTTTTGTATAGACGAATATATAGTTTGAGGGTGTATACCCTCAGGGACAGGGATGCCTGAGGTTTTGATGTACTTTCAACGTTCATTTGGTGGATGTAAATCTTTGCTCCTCAACCAGAAAATAATCACAAACTAATCGTTCTTTTTTAAGGTCTTTTTTCTTAAATTTGACAAGGGTCATCAATGCTTTAATACTATGTACATCAAACTTATGCATATAAGAAGAGAATTGAAGTGGTAAGGATGGAAATATTGGTTGTTAAATTTTTGCAAATCATACCGGATTTTAATATTAAGCATTTCAACCTTGATTCTGCAATCAAGAACCAAATAGTATTTCTACTTTCCTTTCTTTCCCCCCTCTGATTTCAGTTTACTAGCTATTCACTTGCATTGCTATTTTTTGCAAGAAGTTGTCTCACTAGATCACACGGGGCGACCTTTAATGTAATGGGTCGGCTTTAGATGACAAAACCTCATTTCTACTAATAAGTATCAATGCTACTACTCTGAATCTTGTGCCTACGGTCCCTAATCTAATTGGGCTTGCTGATTTTAGGCAAATTTGTTGTTGCAACACCTTCTATAAGGTAATATCTAAAATTCTAGCAAGTATATTGTAGAGATTATCACCTTCTTCTTCTTCTTCTTTTTTTAACAATTGATAATAAAACTGCCTTCATAAACTCTAGGAATACCCACTGATTTATAGAAAACCATCACTTGACTTGAACGCCAAAGGTAATACTTACCTCGCACTCTCTGTACAAGTGAATTCAAGAAACAAATGACATGTCGATTTCGAAAACCCTAATTTTTTATAATAATAAAAACCCTAAAAGTTTAATTAAAAAAAAATTGAAAAGATACTCACTGGTTCTTCTTGATAAATGTCTCCTCAAGCACTTGTCCAGCTCAGCAGCTCCTGTAGAACCCTTGAAGGTTTCTGATCGGCGTCGAGTAGGGCTTTTGCTGCGTTCGAAGGCGAGGGATGAAGAGGGGAGCGGTGAAAGAGTAGGGCTTTTTTTTTTATCTGCGGAGGATAAAAAGGCTGTCGGGTCCGGGTCATCGGGTTTTTCCGGTTTCTACCCGTATCCGCCACGAGTCGGCTTCGGGCCGTATTTTTTTTTTTTGTCCCATTCCAGAGCGATTTTTTTACGCGAGGAAGTCCGAAAAAACAAGTGTATGCTTGCGGAATCCAGTCTCAGAAAATTGTTTGTTCGTAGCCCAAAAAATACAGAGAAAACCGATATATATTATTACGAAAATCCTTTTTAAATATATATTTTTTTTAACTAAAAGAATTTAAAATTGAACATGTATATGCGTTCTAAAAAAATATTTACGGATCAAATTATAAATAGGGGACCTTTTTAAAAAAAAAATTGGCTTTTATCTAATGTGAAGCTCAACACAGAGTTATTATAATCTTTCTTCAGTTTAGTTTACTCTTCTTCAATCATCTAGTTAGGATCATCTCAAAAAACGAAGAAACACCACGCGGCTTAGGATTCTACAGTCTTTCCTCTTGTTTTTGTATTTAAACGCTTCAATGCAATGAACAATTAAGTATGTTTTCTTTCCAAAAGTTCTATTTTTAACGTAGTATCAAGGCCCTGTTATTTGCCCTAGAGAGAACTCGGGGTACGCCCTAAACTCCGTGCCTCTAAGCGGCCTCGACACCGGCTTCGACATCAACTCCGACCTGGTTTTTGCTCCCCCAAGTACAAGTGTAGATAATTTTGGCGAGTTATGTGAGATAAAGAAAGTCCTGCCTGATCAGGAGTGTTATATTGCACCAACCCCCAAAGTTCGCGGGAGTTTTGTGAAATTAACCCCTTTAGAAACTAAAATTTGAGAGAGACACTAGAGGCACACTCTTCACCATACCTCCAACCACACCTCCCCTCCTGCTACAGTGCACCGGGGCCACTTGAGATTTAAAATTTTAAATCTCAAGTGGCCCCCGGTGCACTGTAACAGGAGGGGAGGTATGGTTGAAGGTGTGATGAAATGTGTGCCTCTATCATTTCTCAAAATTTGAAGTCAATTGAGGAGGCGACCTGATCCATCACCATCACCCGTTCTGATGATATACGCAAGAGATTTTGGTGGTGCCTACAAACTTTGTTATTTCCCTTTTTAAAAAAAAAAAAAATCAAACGGGGAAAAAAAAAGAAAAGAAAAATAAAGTGGGGGAAAACTTTGTTATTTTCCTTCTTCGAAGTCTTTGAGGAAATTTTTCAGAGACAAAGGGGTCTTCATCAATGTCTTCAGCTGCTGCTACTTTCATTGCAGGCCCAAGCTCTGCAGCTCCCCACCTGAGAAAATCAAAGAAAGGAGTGAGCTTTTGCCATTACAGGACCCATTTCATCAGAGGAGGAGCTCTCAAGTCGCCTAACCAAATCTCTCTTCTTTTAATTAGAAAGCCATCAAATGGGCTCAGAAGGAATCCTAACTTCAATCACAGTAGACCCTTTTCTCCTGTCATGGAGTGGCAAGAGTGCAGGTATCCAAAATCTTTGCTTTGCTGAAGTAGGTATTGACAAAAACTTCGTCTTTGCAAATCTTGCTCATTTTCAATCCCTGTTTGCCCGGCTGAGTGCTTGTGTGAAGACTCTCATTTTGGTAGCTTGATTGCTGAAATTTTGGATTGGGTACCCAATTTCAGCAACTTTTAGCATGGTGGTGTCCTTGAAAAGATCTGGGAGGTCATCAACCTTGAGTGTTGGTTCATTACAATTGCAATCTAGAACGAATATAGTCGGCTTTTATTCTAATTTCCAGTTTTGAGCCTTACATTGAATGGTAAAACCTGTTAATTGGATGCTCCACTGTATATCCTTTGCAAAAACCATGTGTAAATTGTAATGGATCCATATCTGTATTATTTCAGGCTTATAGTTCACTTGGTCATGTCGATGCGTACGTCGCTAGTCTTGGCAAAATTTACGTTGCTAGGGTTCCACATTTAAAGCTAATATAAAGTTTCTCTTATACTCAGATTTATTAACTGAACTATCAGGTAAGCATATTGAGTAGGATCTTCTTAGAAATTAATTCAATAACTAAAGGACATTGTTTTCTGCTGAAAATATTGCTGTCTAGCATCGTTTCTAAACTGTTCTGGCTTATAATTTAGCACTATTTTGTTTTGATTTAAAGTTTGGGTTTGTGAGATAACAAGTTGAATTTCTGAGGGGTTATACTGGAAACAGTATCCTGTAAAGTGTAAACTATGACAAGTGATAGAAAACTAATTCTAGATTGAGCTTTCGAAGTACTCTATATGTTCACTATACATTCTGTTAAATATGAATTTCTGAAATTGTGCAACTTTAGAAGAAAACATTGGTTGGCGAGTAATGACTGCATTTTTATGCACATATAGAAGCACTATCATGTACCAGCATACCAGCTCATTCGATTGCTTTGAGATGTGTATATCAAAGTGCATTACACAGATTTGATGTTGCTATTATTGTTTACAGTTAACTATAACTTTCAACCTTAACTTCATGAATCTGTTAAAGGAAAAAAAACTTTTCCCTATCTTTCGCTTGATATAACATTTAAATGTAGTTATGAGCTTCAACGGTGAAGCTTATTTTGATGCAGGGCTGAGATTGAAATTGATATTCCAGCTTCTCTTGCCTACGAATGCTATTCAGACCGTGAACAGATCCCACAGTGGATGCCTTTTATATCATCTGTTAAGGTTTGTAGTCATATCATGTGAGTTCATTCATTCTCCACCCTTAGTTGCTCATATTTCACTGAAATACTACATTTTTTTAATAAAGAATTCCTTTCTTTAGATATGCATTAACAAGATAGATAATGAGTGCAAATTTACATCTGGATGGTAATGAGAACTCGGATGAATATCTATTGAGAAAGAAATAAGAATTTTCAATTTCTGAACTACAATTTTCTTATAACAACACCTTCATCCTGATTCAGGATCATATCCTGCTGATCACTCTATCCAACTCGAGATCCACAATCTTGCTAAACGCTATCTAAATTGATACCTTGTACTCAAACTAAGACCAAATTCCAAAATCACTTCAATAATTTTCTTATGGAAGCATTAGGGCATATCCAATTTCAGTTGAATATCACCATGTAATACTAAATGAAAGAGCTTAATTTCGATTTTGCTTAGCAATTCCTTTATTGAACATTACTTACAAATCTAATTGTTGGTATTATTCTAAACGGGTCCACTTAGTTTAGTCATGGCTCAATCTTTGTACCCCTTATCACGCAAAAGTTAAATAGGCACAGCAACAAGTTGAAGATTAATAGAAACAGAAGATTGTCCATCAATAGGAAAGAAGAATAGGTTAAACGATATTTGTTGCTCACATGCATTGCACTATAACTAGTTCATTTAAAAATAAATTTCTCTACAATCAATCAAACTTTATATATAACCTCCAATGATCAGTCTCTAGGTTGCATGTGTACGGGTACGGGACACGGCAAGTTTGTAAAAG